CATAGGGTTGGCAGGTGATGTATCTACAAGCATAGTTTCTTGTATGTTTTGTATGTATGTCCAGGTATATAGTAGAGCTCACAAGAGACAAGGTTGTGGTGACTTCTTGGCCACAGCCAGCCACCTGGAGGGAGTGAATAGTTGGACCTGTGGGCTCGGGACCATGGTCATATGGGACATCAAGCTCTATTGGCATAACATACTACACAAAAAACTTGTTCCACATCCTACTATGGTGAGTAATGGCTGGGATCTGCAAAGCTTGCAAACGGCCATCTAGATGCAACAATGGGTCTCTCCTCACCCAGAGCAAAGAAGAATGAAGGAAACCAAAGATGCATGGAAACAATTAGTCCAAGGGACTGGTATACCATGCTATCCTTAATTTATATGACTATGAGACCAGGAGAACTGGATGATGCCTGGATACCACTGTCAACCACTTGGAAGGGGATCTATGTAGGTGAACCTGTATAGAGTAGAAAAACTATGTGGAAAAAAATTCAAAATCTTAAAAAAAAAGGACCAGGTTTGCTAGTCTGATAGAGCCTGGTGGAACTCCTGGGACTATGGTCTCTAGTTCCTCTTAAGGTCTGGAATTGAACCCACTCCTTTGGTTTCTAGCCAAATAAAAGACAGGCATATGATCTGAACATATACATTAGGTAGATACACTCCTTGGAGAGACCTATCTTGAAAGAATAGAAGAGGATGTATGCATAAGGATGTATGCACAGGAAGACAGCTGCCAGAACAGGAGTGCAGGGGAGGGAAAGACATAGGGAAGAGGAAGCTACGGGGAGGAATTGGGAATAAAGCTGTTACATTGTGGGAAATTGCAATCAATGTCATGAAGCTGTGGTGGGGTAGTGCCTGAGGCAATTGACTGCTAACCAGAGGCCTGGCAGTTCAAATTCATCAGCTACTCCTCAGAAGGAAGATTGGGCAATCTACTTCAGTAGAGATACTGCCTAGGAGACCCAAGGAGGGCTCACAGTGAGTGTGAGTAGAATTGACTTGGTGGCAATTAGTGTTTTTTTGTTTGTTTGTTTGTTTTGTTTTAGTCATGAAACAAAATGTGTTTGTACTGCTGTATGGAAAATGAATTTGCTCTATATACTTTCACCCAAATCACAATATTTATTTTAATTACCTTCATCATTTTATTATCTTTCTCCATTCACATATAATGCTCCACAATAATGATCTAATTCCATAGTCCTTATAAATACATTTTTTCCCCTAAATCTCACAAACCCTTGAGAATCTGCACTTGTCAGTATATTTCTTTCTATCAGTACAGTAGTCCAGTTCACTACCTGTGAAACTTCAACAATTTCACCACTACTACATGCCAGTGGCAACCAGTACTCCACCACCAGTGAGGTGGTCTTCATGTCTAACTAACTGGCTAGTAATACAGCTCTCAAATCCATTTTAGAATTTGCTTCTAAAATTCTGGTGGTGAAGTAACTTTAATTATGTTTTCAGCTTCAAGTAATGACTACTTGATTAAATATGACTTAAGTAACATAGACATGAATTACTTCACTTAACAATAAGTGTTAGTGAAGTTTAGTTCAGATATTTAACAGAGTCAGCAAGGGGCCAATATGTTCTATATTTTCACTTTGCCCTCAGTGACAGGACAAGCACTGTGTCTTGGCAAAACTACATCACAAGCAGGAAGAAAAGGAGCAGGACTAAGAAATTTGCGCCCCCTTTCTCAAGTTATTTTAGGGATGAAAAAGTTTCCCGAAACTTCTTGTTATAGATTGAATTGTGTCCTCTAAAAAATATGCTGAAGTCTTAATCCCTGTACCTGTGAATGTAAATTATTTGGGTATCTCAATCACTGCTGTCGAGTAGGATCCAACTCATAGTGACTTCTCCTTGGCTTTCTGAGGTAGTATCACTATGGAAGTAGATTGCCCAATCTTCCTTCCAAGGGAGTGGCTGGTGGATTTGAAACCCCAACCTTCTGGTTAGCAATGAAATTCCTTAGGCTGTATGCCACCAAAACTCCCATTTGGGTATAGGGATTATCTTTGTCATTAGATCAATTTAAAAAAAAAAAAAAAAAAACACACAGGAACAATTACCAAAAAAAGAAAACAAAACAAACAAGGACAAAAAAAAAAAAAAAAAAAAAAAAAACATGCCAGAGAACAGTGGGTACTATCCTAATTTGAGTGATGTTTTATAAAAAAGGAAGGCCAGGAACATGCAATCACATACACAGGGGGTAAGATAACATGTGAGGATACCTCTGCAAGCTAAAGTGCCAAGAAACATCTGAGGTTACCGAAAATTGAAAGAGACAAGGAAAGATTTTCTATAAGACCAGGAATAGTAGAGAGAGAAAATAGTTCTGTCTATGCTATGAATGTGGTCTTCAAGCTTCTAGAAATATTATAAAATAAAAACAGGTTCTTTAAAGTGACCCTTTTTGTCCTGTTTTCTTATGGATTCTTAGGAAACTAACACACCCCTTATGCTCTTTGTCCAGAAATGTTACATCTGATTTCCCTTAGAAATGCAAAGGATGGGATTACTACAGTTGGTGTAGACTGATTAATTCATTGCCTACTAAGACACTATTGTCCTCATCCCAAATAAATCAGCAAAGACAAATGATGAATGGGAGTTGGGTGATCCAGTCATTTATCTTACCATGCATACAGTAGAGGAAATAGACTGATATGTAAAATCAGGACATGGAAAAAGAGTTATTCACATTAGAAGAGAGGGTGCAATTGTTCTAAATAAATTTTATTTACCTATGTCAGATTTTTTTTTTAATGTTAGAAATATTTCTTTGGGTGTTTTCTAGTAAACTCAGTGTCTTCGTGATTATTATATTTATTATATAAATTTATTCTTTTGCATAAAATATACTCTCAATTAGTCATAATTTCATTATATGACAATATACATCAAATGGAAAGAAGGATAGATAAATTTTTATTTAAGTATCACTTTTCTATTTAAATATCGATAATTCCTGTGTTATGTAATTCTAACTCACAGAAAACTAGTACTTGCCCTTTAATGCTATATAAATTTGCCCTAATTTTTAAACTCCTACTTGATACATATGCCTCATCACAATCACCTTCACTTTCTGCAGGAATAGCTTGTAAATCATTGGGAAGCTTTCCAGTCTTTTCTTGCACCAGAAGTAAGGCTAAACAGGAACCATATACATACACTTACCTACAAATTTGACTCAAGGACTAATTTAGAACAGATCTTGCTCATAATCTGAAGACTGTCTGTATTCAAAATACTTTATCATTACAGAAAGATGATGTAGTATACAGTTGATTACTTAGATTATACTTTTCTTGCTTTTCACTGTTTTATAACACACACACAAAAACACACTTTCACCAATATCCTATAATATAAGCATGTGCTTCAGCAATGGCATCTATATTTTGAATAATTTACTTTCAGATGTATTTATGAATTATTAACTTTTCAATCATCTTCTATTTATAATTCTCTGATATAGCTTAGTTTTGCTGTGAGTAAAGATATATAGGCAAGTGACACTTTGACTTCTATTTTCTAATACTTTTCCACAGTTTTAACATTGTTCCCTGTTCTTTTTCCTTCTATCACTCCAGTTCTTTGATTAGGTACTAAAACCACATTAACTGGACTATGACTACAGTTTCTCATCTATGGTTCTTTTTTAGTTCAAGTTATCTTTTAGTTCTAAAAACTAAAAGTTTTTAGAAGTCCAGAACTTTCAAGTTCTATGTCCTTTGCAATGTGTAAGTTTGCTTTTTTACATGTTAGCCTTTCAAAATATAACCCAAATTTTAAAGATTAAACAGACCAACATTCAGAAAGATTTATTTTTCAGGACAAGTATTTCCAAAAGAAAACTATTACTATCATGTGTTTAAATTTCAATCTTTATGTTTTTAAATAAAAAATAATAATTTTCATTGTGTATGTTTTCCATTTTTTCTTCTTCCAGGGTAACTTTTTTTTTCTTTCAACTTCTTTATTAAGATGGTTGCATAAAAGATATACATTCTCATAATGACAATTCTTGCCATGAACAAAAGCAACAAAAATAAGGCAATAGCAAGATATGCTTCACATATAAACAATCACGCTATAAGAACAGGAGACCTGGATCTCTGCACAACAAAAAGATCAGGAAGCAAAATGTAAATGAGCCCTAACTCAGAATACACCCAAAAGTGTGTGCAAAGACTGCGTACCTAGGTTCCTCTGTTTACAATGCATAATTCCTTAATAATCCATTTGGGAAATAAAAATAAGAAAAATGAAATCCAAATTGCATTTATTTTCACAATATCAATGCTAAACTCAAAATAGCAACTTCATTGACTCTAAATGTTAAATGCTTCAAAAGTAAAAGGCAATCTTCATTTTTTTTGAACATGGAATGGGGCCTAATAAAGACAGTGGATTACTTCACTCTACTTGGAAGAAGACAAGATCTCAGCCCATGCGCAAGTAGTATGAGCAACAAAGGACAAGTATCAGAGTAATGCCCATACATATCAAAGTGTCTATATGAGTGATGCTGTTCTACTTACACAGCAAGTCTACTGAGCAAACAGCATAATGGATGCTTATAACTCATGTGACAGAATTACTAAATTAACTATACATCCATCAGAAATTTTCAAACCCCTGCTTCCGAAACAATTTTAGTACACCTATTACACACTACAGGTCATTGAGAAAAAACAGCAATAAAGCATATACCCAGTCTTTGCAAATAAAAATCTTTCATAACATGAACAATGCTCAGATACAAATTTGGAAGTAATAGTTTTTTTTCTAGATATGATTTATATAATTAAGGCTTCCTTAAACAACGACAGGTCTTAGGGATGTGATCTGTACAAACTTACAGTAGTGTATACTCCAAATAAGGATTTTCTTCCTATTATGATATGACAATGTAACCATTTTCTGAGTAAAGAGAAGTAAAGATAAGGCTTAAGGTGTAAACACTTCAGAAGGCAAAGAACTTAGTGAAGAAAATATTGTTCATTAAAAAATGTGTATCATAATAGGCTCCTGAACTTTCAAATTTACATGACAGAATACATTTACATCTTAAATTTCTAGGAAAGGCACAAGCTTTATGTAAAAAGGCAGCAAATTTTTAAACCCATCAATTCATTGAAAAATCCATTACTTTTATTAGAGAAACAAATAATTGCTTCTCAAGATGTTGTCAACAGGTCATAATATAGACACATATTTTACAAAGTGTATTTCCCCCTTTAGTTACATTGCAGCAGGAGGTGGGATACCTCCTTGGCCATGTGCAGAAGTGTTTGATGGACTGTGTAAGCTGGTCTCCTTGTACACAAACCAAGCATTTCCTCCCCAAAGTATCATATTCAGAAATCCAAAGATCACAGAGACATTTAGGGATCCCATACTGGTGACAGAGTCAAAATAACAGGTCACTCCTGGATGCTTACTGCAAGGCTCAAGTTCTGGAATAATTTTGGGACTGGTAGCTACTTTAATATCTGTAAGAGTTTTAGCCCAGGCTGAAGTGCTCACCAACCACAAAAAAGTGACAACAAGAGTAATAATAAAGTCAATCATGGGAAGTTTTCGAATATCTCGATACAGGTTCGTGTAACCAACGTAAAGCAGAAGAGCAGCAATGCAGTACAGGAAGACAAAGACTGCAAAGGTGACATAGAATTGTGCAGAGGAAGAGTAATCACCGATCAGAACATATTCATTCCACTTGATATCACATACATTTACTTCTGGAGCTGCCTGAAAAGATGCCTGATTCAACCTGAATGGGTAACCAAAATTAGCTGTAACAGTTTTATTGTCAGCAGCTTTAGGACAATGCACTAAAATTTCTGTTTTGCCCTTAAAACCTCCACAGGTGGCAAAAGCAAAGATGGAAGCAACCCACTCGAGGACCTTGATGAAGCCGAGCGGCTCCTTGAGCGGGTTGATCTGGAAGCCGGACATCCTCTTCAGGGTAACTTTTTAAGATCTTACAGAATGCTGTTTTTTAAGAGACAGCTAATGATTGCATTTTCATGTCACAATAATATTATATTGATTCACATATAGGCATATTACATATAATGTGAACACTGATTAGCATGACTTTAAAGTTTTAAGTTACCTCTGTTTTAATTCATTTACTACTTTATTCAATATATATGCATGAGGTAAATATTGGGAACACAAAAAAGATTCTCTTCTATTGCAGAAAATCATTCATCAGTCTGGATTCTACCCAGTGGTTTTCAATCAATTTAATTGATGAAATAATAAATTATTTTTATGAAGACAGGATATAGTTGCAATAACATTATCAATTTACTTTTGAAAGCAGTATTTTCATTAGGACAAACTGATTCTGGACTGTTTTTTCCTAAAAATTAATGGGAATCATTGTAGGAATAAAAAATTTTACATAAAGATAACACAATCAATTGTTCATCTTGTAGCATGGTCTGTTGTTGATGTTGTTGTTGTGTGCCGTCGAGTCAAACCCGACTCATAGCGACCCCTCCTTGGGTTTCCGAGGCAGTATCACTACGGAAGTAGGAATGCCCAACCTTCCTTCCGAGGAGTGGCTGGTGGGTTTGAACCACCAACCATCTGGTTAGCAGGCTACCAGAGCTAGGAAGGATCAAATAAAGGTTGTTCACAGCAAGGAGAACAGAGAATAAATTTAGTCTAGAATGATTAAATAATCCAAAGCTTACTTACCAGTGAGGAGCTCTGGTGATGGAGTGGTTAAGACATTTGGCTGCCAACCAAAAGTTCTGTGGTCCAAGCCCACCTGCTGCTCTGTGGAAGGAAGATGTGTAAGTCTGCTGCCATAAATATTTACAGCCTTGGAAACCCAAAGATGGTTGCTATGAGTTGGAATTAACTCAATAGCAGTTAGTTTGGTTTGTCTTTAATTGTCTGTGAGGTACCTAAAATTCTCTTACTTACACAGTTTTCACGGAAGACTAAGTCTGTCTCTAAATCAGATACAAGGAATTCAGTCATAATGTAAATATGTTGTTATTATTCAAGAAAGTAATAGGGAAAGCTCATAACACTACAAGGTCTAGAGTCAGACAACTTGGGTTTGTCCAGAAATTCTATTTATTAGATCTGTGACCTTATGATATTAAATCATTACTTTAACCTCTGTTTTACTATACATAAAATGAGCAGAACTAGAATAGGTAACTTACAAACCATTATTCATAATGTAAAGATGAAATTAAAATTATATTTAACTTGGCATTCCTAAAAAATTGGGTACAAAATTCATCATTATTGTTTTAAAGACATGTTTATGTTTTTTGGATTGCAATCTTATCTTTTCCATGAAGTGAACTCTTTGACTGAAAGAAATATGACTAACTTATTTTATGTCTTCTTTTCCATGCATCACCTACATCTCCCATTTTATTCTGTTATTTTTCCTACAAAAACATACACAAGCAGTCTCCAACTTATGATAGACATGGTTCTGCTAAGTCAATCAAAAGTCAATTCTGACGTGTCATTTTTTTTTTTTTTTTTTAGTTTTCATAGCCTACTATACAGCAGTGTTTTGAACAATAAATCATAAGACTGAACATTTGAGAATGAAAACACCAGCAAATTATGGGTAATATAGAACAGGAAAAGAAGGTCCAGAGAAAATGAGGAGGAAAATGGGGGAAAAAAAAAAGAGAAATCATCAACCATGTTAATTATTCATGTAAGAATTAGCCATCAATTATCAAACTTTTGGTTATGACCCATTACCAAACCACAAAGTCCATTTAGTGAATCCCTACTCACATTTAAGAGGAACCCTGGTGGTTGCAAAAAGAGCATGGGGTCAGCATCTTCTAACCTCCTCTAACTTCACAAGAGGAAGACAGAATCACCATCAACAACCCAAGGCTTACCCTCCAGCCTTTTACCAACTCTGATACCAACTGTCCCTCCCATGACACTCACTACTTCTCTGCTAGGTTTGGTAATTCATTGCAATGGCTGCACAGAACTCACAGACAATACTCATTATTATGGGGTTTATTTGTTAAGTAACAAGCTACGATTCAGGTTCAGGAACATGCTCAAGATATAATTCTTCAATCAGAAGAGTCTTCCCTCTGCTGTGCCCTCAGACACAACTCTCTGGCCCCTGCCTTCTCAATCTGGCCTCTGTCCTGCTTGAACAAATGTTACAAGGCTCTCTTTGGTCTGCCAATAGGTATACTTAAATGTACCCAACTCTGCCAGCAAGCCTCCTGCCTATGCACACTCAGTTTTCTCACACTGTAGACCAGGTAACTTCACCACTTAGTCTCATGCCTCTTGCTTCTCTGCTGCCATCTTTTTGTCAGGGCATCTCTCCTCTGGGGCATCTCTCTTCCAGGGCGTCTGTCTGTCAGGGCATCTCTTTGTCAGGGCATATCTGCAAAGGGAATCCAGCACAGGGATCTCAGGTCTAACGACACACTTCCCTTCACTTCCCTTCCTGCTCTTCTCTCTTGATGGCAGTGACATTCCCTCTCTAGGACAGCTGATTTTAAACCTGGCAGCAACAAAACTAACCAATCCCAACATCAAAGTTAAACACATCTTATTTTCATGGAAGACTGGACAATCTACTTCCGTAGAGATACTGCCTCAGAAACCCAAGGAGGGGTGACTGTGAGTCAAAATCAACTTGGCAGCAGTGAGTGTCTTTTTTTTTTTTAACCTATTAATCTGGTGGGAGTTACAAACGATTACTAAAAAAGCCATACTACATAATTCACTGCACCACAACAGCATTCAGTTAACATTTGTATCCAAACAAACACATTTATTTGACTCCTTATTCTTGTGGTAGTTAAGGTTGGGTCTCAAGTTAGCTGAGCTGTGGCTTTGAGTGGCTTGGCAGCTGGATGTAGTTATTCCCCATGATGAGATTGTAAGCACTTTCATGGTAGAATCTGATACAAGCACCTAACCATTTTCCACAACCAACCCAGTAATCCAGTGGGCGTTACAAAGACTATGACTAGAGAAGCCATACCAAATAATTCACTACCCCACAGTGGCACAATAGTAAGCTTTCTTCTCCTAACTGGAAGGTTGGTGGTTCAAACCCACTCAGTGACTCCATGGGAGAAAGGCCTGGAGATTTGCTCTCATAAAGATTGCAGACCATCAAACCTAGTTTTTTATTTGTCACATTGGGTTGGTAGGAGTCAGAACTGACTCAAAGGTACCTAACAACAACACCAGTATGCAAAAAAAAAAAAAA